GGCATAATGGAACCAAACTTGTGTGGATTGACTGACTATAAATTAGGTAACGTAAAGATGACTTTGCACACTGTGTTAATGCTCTTGCTGCTTCGATCCCCTTAATTCTACGTTCACTACATCCACCTTTTTTCTGCCCAAGACTGTATACCAGGAGCTTCTGCTTGTTAGTAATAAAGGAAGGAGAGGAGTTGACAAGTGTGTGCTGAGGGACACCAGGGAACTGTTCTTAGAAAGTTTTGAGAGATAGCATCATTAGACATGTTCCAGCCACACTCAGGGGAGAAAACAGAGCTGTCTACCTAGTTTGCCATTAGTTGGCTGGCCTGCGTGATTGGCAGGCAGTCTGTTATGAATTCACACAAGGCTGACATTCCAATTCTTTGGGCAGACCTTCCAACTTTTCAGAAAGGTCCACCTTCAGTGGCCAGTGCAGTGACATGATATGCATCCCTGACCCACCTCCTTTTACACCAACCACCAACATTCCACTTCACAGGATATTAATGTTGAGGATTATCAACATCTTCAATGTTAGTTTTGCTTGAGAAACGAAGATGAAAGATTAGTATCTGGTGTGTGTATTCTTATAGATGCATCCTGTGAGTTTCCCTCCAGCACCACCTCCACCAGATATATGACACTTGGGTGTGTGACTGTTGTAGTGTTTCTGTCGATAAGATTCTGTAATTATGTTATTCAGAATTGTCAGCACCAGGTCAAATGGGCTCTTAATACAGCCCAGGATGATGGCATGGAAGGGACTTTTAAATGTAATGGAAAATGTCACAGTCATTAACCAGAAAGTACAAATACCTGTAACTTATAAATATGTCTACCCTAAATGTGTTACAGTTGGTAGTCTTAATATTTTCCTTATACACCTGTAAGTAGGTTCTTGTTATTACCACTTATTGTTGACTATTGTGTATATTTTAGGTTTTCACCTTTGTACGGTGAGAACACCACTCACGTCACACCACTGTCATGACAGGTTCACTTTAGCATAACTACTTTCTTTTGCATTGAATACATCATTAATCATAGATATAAATGATATATTAAATTAAAAATACAAAGCTATAAAATTCAACTCCCCTCTGGTTCTGCGCTGACAAGTCTTTTTATTTTATTTTTGCAAAACATTTTTTATGAGTGGAATCAGGCATAGCAGACCCATGAAGTGTGCAAAAGCATGCTTGTTTTTCTTATTTAAGTACAATAAACAGCATAATGAAAAGAAAAAAAAAACCTGTAAGCTGACTTGCAGGCCTATGATAGGTAATGCCAAAAGGAGGAAATATGCAAACAATGACGATCATGTCATATTTTATGTGGATGTTGCACTACTGTAATGCCCATGTTCAGTTCACATATGTTCCACCCACACTCTTGTTTAATTTGCCATGCTTGGGGACACTTTTCCAAATCTTCTTCATGACACCGACACACTGGTTTCAGTGCCAGTATGTCGCCTTC